TCTCTCTCTCTCTCTCTCTCTCTCTCTCTCTCTCTCTCTCTCTCTCTCTCTCTCTCTCTCTCTCTCCTCTTGAACGATGATGCGTCTGAATGATTCTTGAATGGAAATGAGTCGGCATTCTGCGTACAAGAACTTCTTCCGGAACTCTTCCATTAGTTTCGTGGGTAATCCTCCTACGCAAGGACCCTGTCTTCTTGTCTTGTGAACGGTGGATGCGTGTGTACTAAGTAATGCGATCCATCTTTTCCTGTGCATGTCTCATTTTTGTGCCTTCCACAATGAATGCATGTATGGAATGTGTGACGCCTTTGTTGATTAGACGATTGTCGTCGGTATTTTGTTCGAGAATGCAAGAGTGTTTTGATTTGTAGCTCTGTTTGCACTGCGCATGTCATCTGCCTTATGCTGCACGACATCAGCAACCGAGCCACGAGGCGGCCCTGAGAAACAAGGCACCCAGGGACCAACGTTGTGCTGAACTGATAGGACCCGTAGCCATGATCAAGCTGATCTGTGTTTGCTCTCTTTCTCTTGTGCCAAAAAGATTGATTGGGGGACGTGCGAATCACTTTTGTTCTTAATGGCGTCTCAGGATATTTTGTGATTGATTGACATGTGGACTGACAAGTACCCTTCGATTGGGCGCCAGCCTCCCGTATCTCCCATCCCAACACGACCTTTTCCTTACAGTGAGGAAAGGACACGTGCATGCGAGTGGGACGTACGAGAAGCCGTTGCACAAATCGGCGGGCAGTATTACTTCCCTCCTGCCAACCGCTGTTCTGGGTTCGTAGAAGTCGGGTTTGTTATTATTGATACGCACTTCCCACCTTACTCAGTATTGGTGCCATTTAACGAGTTGATCGTCATTCCGTGGACGGCAGTAGAACCCCACTCGCCGCGCACTCTGTGCACCGAATGTCAGCATTTTAAGCGCTATGAGTCCAGGGGTTTCCACTACCGTTTGCGGAGAGAAGACGAGCATAAAGAAAGAGTCACGCGACTGAGACCCTCCACGTTAGACTCGGAACTAACCAGCGGACGACGACGAGACTTGATACGAAAACGAGATACACGAAGCGTGCCCAAACCTTTCTGTTCCAAGCGACGGGCTGTAGCCCGGTGGGAGGCACGACAATACTTTTTGGATTGAATTTGGATCTTTCCCTCTCTTTCCGCCTTGCCCGCGCGCGCATTCCGCGACGCACGAAAACGATTGACTTGCTCCATCGGACTAACACGAGGGATTTCAGTTTCGTCTGTGTCCCCACACTCAATTTCCAAAAATCCTTGGCACACCCCATCTTGCTGTTTTTTTGGGCCTCTTTTTCGCACAGCTAACACTCCGAACGGAAGACAGCACAGGGCGTGAGGTTGGTATCGGAGCCGACACGTGTCGGTTCTGATGATAGTATGCCGAACTGGCGAGAGGTAGGAGAGATCCTCAACTAGCTCGTCGAGATCGCCTCGTAACCAGATCTATATCTAGTACTGTCCTACCAACTGTACCAATGGTGGACGGTACTAGGGTGATCGTTAGCATCCCCGCCCCCTTCCCTTTCTTCCCCAACCATTCCCATCCCGAGGCTTGGCTGGAAGCTGTTGAAGCTCAAAACTACAGCGGAACCGATCTTCCCCTCGTTCTTACCTTTCTACTCCGCAATACCTCACATGACTAGTTTAGAAACCATGCATGGGTAGATTGGAATACCTTCAAACAAGCCTTTTTGGCTCGATTTGATATAGTTAGTGAAGATGCCGCGTGGTACGTACTTAAAAATCGACCATAAGGACCGGGAGAATTGTTGCCCGATTTCGTCGATCGATTTCAAACCACGCTGGACAAATCTGGGCGGGACGAGAAATCTGCTCGAGATCTGTTCATCGATCATCTACGAAGTCTGTTAAAAGGGAAGTTGCAGAAAAAAGTCCTGCCGAAGGTGCACCCGCTCCCCACTATCATCGCAAAAGCACTAGAACTGGACCTGGCCGATACAAAAAAATATATCAGTCAGGGAGACAAAGATATTACTGATACTATACGGGATGTAGCAGCAAAAAGGCGATCATGGCTGCAAGCGGTAGAATGGTTCTATCCTCGCTCCTACCATGAGCTCCTCGAGAGATCTGTTGCCGATACCCCACCCGTCTCTTCTTCCTCTCCCCAGTGAATCAACCAATTGCGAGAGTCATGAGTGGGATCCCACCCGGATCCCCCTCGCTAGCCGTAACCAACTTACATCTTGCCCAGATGATCCATTTAGCCACTACCAAAGAGTCCGAATGGATGAGTAATTTGATCCAAATGCAGGCCGCCCATATGGAAAGGATGGAGCAGATAATGAGCAGGTTGATCAAGCCTAACCCGGCCCCTGCTCGGCCTGCCCCTGCGTCATTTCCACTCTTACCTGCCCCACCTACTCCAGGTTACGCACCTCAGTTCCCTCATCTAGCGAATCAGGCCGGAAAGATCAAGTGTTTTAACTGCAAACAGCCCGGACATTTCGCCCGCGATTGCCCGCAGCCCAGGCGAAGTCAGCACCCACCTGCGGCGGCCCCCGTGGCCCTGAATCAAGGACGAGTTGCCGCTTTGATGGATACGAACCAAGGAGGAGAACTCGGGGCATATGCCTCCGAGCAGCCTTCCCCGTCGTTAATAACAGCGTCAACCTCGGGAGCTTCTTACTCTGACGTCGCTGACGTGGTCGACCCTCTTGAGTATCTCCATCTCGCAGGCATGATCAGAGCAATCCGATCGGTCCCAGATGATCTCGAGTGGGACGATCGAGAATCCAATACAGGACCGCAGTTTCGGACAGGAGATATTGACGTACTAAGAACACTCAAGCAGTAAGACATTCGCGTTCCCGTCCCAGTGGGACGTCTGCTCACCATACCTGAAGTGACGAACGATAAGCTTCTACAACAATGCCAGAAAAATCAAAAGCGTTTCACTTATCAGCGCATACAACGGATGTTGAAGAAGAAGGAAGAAAGCGAGGAAGTTGCGTCTCCCGAACCTGACACAAAAGAGCCTGAACCTGAAGCCGCCCGTATAGCAGCGATCTTTTAGCAGAAAAGGATCACTTCGTACGAGCTCGGCCGCTGCTATGGAAAAGTGCGGAATGTGACTGTGAAGTTTGGGGCAAGCCATTTAATGCCCTTATCGACACAGGGTTGTCTGCAGTGGCCATATCGTTAGATACCGTCAAGAAGACGGGGCGACTTGAGTTCATTCTTCCTCAGTCTGGCAAAGACAACTTTGTCTCTGCCGACGAGGAAACAATGAACATTGTAGGGATTATCGAAAACATGGCTGTAAAAGTCGGATGAGTACACGTCCTAGTTAACGCACTTATAATTGACGTACGTTCCTACTCTGTATTGTTGGGATTACCTTGGGCAATGGCTGTAGGCGCAAGATTGCATTTCGATTCGAAACAACTAGTGCTCACGCAAACCGGGGGAAAGCCTCAGACAGTTCCTTTGCGGGTTTCCACCCGAACGATAAAACGAGTTCCTAACTCGCCGTAAATAGCGATGATCCGAGGCATTGATCCCGAGGAGTGCTCCCCCTCGCGCCTCGGGGATGGAATCAGGGAACGAGAATACGAAAAAGAGATGCCTCGTAAAGAAGAATGAAAGCATATGGTTGAACTTTTCGAACATGAAACCCTCGAAGAATTTCGAGTATGCCCCGACACCGCTCGAAGCTTCCACGTGGATTCTGAAGACAGTGCATTCATGCCTCTAGCGACCCAGGTCAGTCCTTCAGTCCTCCTCGGGGAACCCATATTACAAGTTTCCGACCCGGCTGATGATTTGGAACCCCCTCGCACATTATACGACGGAGCCCTTTCCTTACGAACGTGTTATCAACGAACGGAACAGTATTTGGATGTCTCTGTTTTTTCACCCCGACCGTTATTAATAACAGGAGCCCCCATCGCCTTGATTAAACAAGAAGCGGAAGCACCGGTAAGTGACGTACCTAATCTGATGCAAGAAATTACGGATCTAACAGCGCTAACTGTGGAACCAACTTCGGTTGACTCAGAGATCGACACTGAAACTAAAGAAACAGAGATGATCAGCCCCGCTGAGTCCCCGATGATAGCAACTGTCTTTTTTGTTCGCACCAGTAGTTCCGTTTTCTCTAGTGTCTATGAGCGGCGGGAACGGCCGGTTGATTGGATCAATATGCCCCTTAATATGTCCGAGGAATCGACGATCCCCCTCCCGAGTCACGTTCCCCCGGAACTTCGGAAGTTTTTAATCTGTGTATTGAGTAGTTGCACAGAAGTATTGAGCGTGCAGGACAATGATATTGGCTTAACTAATGTAATTGAACATGTCATTCTCACGAGATATCATCCGCCTATTAGCTGCGCTCCCTACCAATACTCGCCAGCTCAACGAGCGGCCGCCTTTCATCGGATTAAGGAGTTCGAAGCTAATGGATGGATCGAACCCGCTATAGGGCCATGATCTTTCCCTGTAGTGATCGTACCTAAAAAGGCTGGAGGGATTCACATTTGCATTGCTTATCGAAAACTAAATGAAATCATGATTAAAGATGTGTATCCCCTCCCCCCGATTGATGAGTTATTGGATGTCATTGGGGATGCTCGATTTTTCAGCAAGATTGATGTTCGTCATGGGTTTCATCATCCTCTTGTTCGGGAAGAAGATCGGCCGAAAACGGCCCTTGTGCTGTTTAAAGATACGTGGCAGTGGTTTCGATGTCCGATGGGAATTTGCAATGCGCCTGCCACGTTTCAGCGGGCCATGAATATGATTTTCCAGAATTTCGTACGGAAGGCTCGTCTAGCGCAGAGCATCATCAACTACTGCGTGATTTTGTACATGGATGACATCCTAGTGTATTCGAGCTCCTACGAGGGACACGTGCAGCACATTGAATGGGCATTGCATGCGTTACGAGATGCAGGTTTCAAGGTGGCGCTTGAGAAGTGTCAGTTTTTCCTCACCATCATTCCCTTCATGGGGCACGTGGTGACGGACAAGGAACTCCAGCCGGAGCCGCTGAAGGTGGCAGCTGTTAGGGACGAGCTAATGCCTACCACTATCACGCAAATTCGCGCCTTCCTGGGCCTAGCCTCGTATTACCGAAGAATTATCAAGGGCTTCACGGCGATTGCGGGACCCCTCACAAATCTCCTGCGAAAGCACCAGCCATTGATCTGGACGTCGGAGTGCGATCAGGCGTTTTCCAAACTCAAGGCTGCTCTCATTTCGGCTCCGGTCCTTATAAGACCAGATCCCGAAAAACCCCTTGTTCTCATCACCAACTGGCAGCCAGAGGCGATTTCGGCGATCCCTGCCCAGGTGAGACCCATCGAACTCGAAAATGTGGTAGAATATGCGTCCCAATTGGTGCCCGCCTGCAAGCGCAATTACGCCGCTCCAACGGGCGAATGCTATGCGGCTCTCTAGGGAATCAATCACTTTCAAGCTTACCTGTACGGACGAAAATTCACCCTGGTGACTGATCATGAGCCCCTGTTTGCTCTGAAGAAGTCGAAGGATTACTCAGTCATGATCAGGCGATGGGCAACGGTGTTGCAGCGCATGGACTTTGACATTCGCCATCAGAAGCACGAGAGACACGGGAATGCGAATGGGGTGACACGTTGTCGGGCGACCGAAAGCCAGTCGATCGCCCTAATACCGGGAGATTGACCCGTAGAAAAGATGTTTGAGAGAAAATCGGCCGGGAGTCTTGTCCGACCGGCTGGAAAAAATTAGGCGGAGCCGGGCCATCTTTAATTTTGGGTGTGTGAACCATCAGGACTAGCCCTCAAAACTAGCAAGCGGGACTGCCGCTTCGCTGTCCTGACGGCTACCGTATTATCTATCTCATTTTCGCCCGCTCCAAGCCTGTTGCCGAGACGACTGACTGTGGGACGGTAATTTGAGAATGGGCTTAGACAAGGGTCTTTTACAATGTCGAGCGAAGGCGAGGACGGAGCCTCCACATTTAATTAAATTTAAAGTTGAAACTAAAAATGAAAAAAAGAATTAAAAACAAAAGAAAAGAAGAGAAAAACGAGATTTTTTTTAATTTATTCAATTTCTTCGGCATTTAATTTTGATGGAATCGCCCTCATTATTTAATATTTCTGATAATAGGATTTAAATCAAGAAAAGGGAATCAAAACCATAGAAAGAAAAAGAAAACATGAAAATTCTCGATATTTCATCAAATTCCATTGAAATTCGTTTTTTATGTAACTGCCTTATTTTCATTCTTTCGGTAATAGAATAAAGAAATAAGCAAAACAATTAAAGTAACAAAAGGAGAGAAAACCAACAATTATCTAATATTTGACTAATTGTTTTTCTTAGTTATTCATGATAAATTTTGACCCCGGATTATTTATTTGCTCTAATCCTAACGATTCTTTCTATTCCCCGATGATTGATATCGACTATATGACCTACCCGATTTTCCTGATTACTGAGCTCGCCGCAGTTTGAGCGTTTCGAGAAAGTGGTGTCGCATGGCCGAGGTGGGTTGATGCTACCTTGGTTTGGTCCTTTCAAGTATGGTTTTGACTTTGGCTCGGTTCAGACTCACGGTTCGGAAGAGGTTCGGTGCCTAATATGTTTGTGGTACGGCGTAAGCTAGCATCGGAGTACTTCAGGATCGGGCACACCAACATGGTTTATTATCAGGTCCGGGACCACTACGGCGGATTATCTCAGCCTCGGTGCCAGCGCGACGGTTTATTTCAGGCTTGGTATGAGCTTGACACCTGCATATTTCAGTCTCGTAACCGCTGCGACATCGACGCGTTTCAGGTTCGGTATTGGTACGGCATCGGGATGGTATGTGCCGCTGAGATATTTTCAGGTTCAGATTTGGTGCGGTATGGTGTTTACATTGGCTCGGTACGAAAAGCTGGCTCAAGAGGGGTTCGAGGCCAGTGTAATGTAGATTGCTACAGTTTGAGTTGGTTGTTTTGGGCCCGGGCATGACGCTGGCACGGGCTGTTGAAATTCAGGGTTCCCCTTAGGTTCGGCCGATTCTGCTTGGTATTGACGTGGGCCATCGCTGGCATGGCTCTGAGCGAAAACCGTAACCACAGTTGCCGTGCTTCAGATTTGGCCTAGTACTTTCACCGGGACAGTGTCGGTGCGGGTTACTTTTTTTTTTTTTGACGGGGCGGCGGGAATGACCTCTAAATCCGCCTGATAAAATATTGCAGTCTGGTACCGTTTGCGGGATCGAGATTGGTATGGCTGCTGGAACGGGGACGGGCACATGCCCTAGGTTGGGACAGGTACGACCCAGGTATGGTAATGGTACAGGTTGGAATTTAAAGATACAAAGTTGACACGGTCAGAGTCTACATGATTTTTGGTACATTCATTTCTGGTCACGGACATTGAATGGACAACGACACGGCACGGCCTCAGGGAAATGTATTCCGGTCTGCCGCTTTTGTTTGGTATAGTTGGTGGTCCGACATTGGCGTTGATCTGGTACCGGCGCAGCCACTGCAGCTCGGTATTATTAATTTTTCGTAGCCCGATGCTGCTTACCGCATGGCACAGTACTCAGTCCGGTCCAGGCAATAATTCACTCAGACTGTGATCATGGAAATCCTGGTTCCGCTGGGTTCTGATCCAGGACTACCGGGTCGAGGCTGCGATGCCAAAGGAAGTACTGCTGCTGGAAACAGGTGCTCCGGGCCTGTAGGCTTGGTAGCGCTGGTACCAATGGTGCCCCCTTTCCGTTCCCAGCTGAGTGCTGGAGGCTCACAGGGGCAATGTGCTTTACCGGTACCTGGAGCTAGGGCCGCTGATATAGGAGTGGCCTGTGTAACACTTCGTACGACGTACAGGGGGTTTATCGTACGGTCGTACGTACGGCCGTACGTACAGCCCCGTACGAAAAAAAAAAAAAAAAACGTTTTCTTTTTTATCTCAAATTTGGTAACGAATTTTAATATGACCCTAAGGCAAAAGTGTTTCAGTTTATGTTTCTTCATAACATGATTTTTTTTTACATGTTTTTGATTTATTTTTTTTTTGATTTTTTTTCCGTACGTACAGCCCGTACGACCACATGAGCCCGTATGTACGGCCGTACGGACGTACGGACGGCCCGTATTCGTACGGGGGTATACACAGGGAGTGGCAGGCAGTGAAAGAGGGACGTTCGGACGGGAGAGGGGCGCAGTGGACGACTTGCCAGGTGTAAACCGCCCACTTTGCAGCCCGGTTCGGAACAGGCAGAGGCGAGCTCAATGAGCTCAGTTGACTTTCGTGCTTGCGCAGTGAGCAATGGCGTAGGGGGGACGGAGAGAAGGCAAGTAGGGGAGCCACGTGCGCTCAGCCGCCCGCTTGCTATTTTATACAGCCCGGTTGGGCGAACGACATGAGAGACGAATGTAGACAGGGGAAAGACGGGGGAAAGTGAGTAAGGAACGCGTGCCATGTACGCGCAGCAGCATTAGCAGGTCAGATTTGTGTCCAACTAGTTCAGAAGAGGAGAGAAGAAGAGGGTGCGAAAGAAGGAGTGCGCCAGGTGTGCTCCGCGAACAGCTTGCCTGACTCCCAGTTGGGAAGGTGATGCTGACGAGAAACCACTGCGGGAATACATTACGGTCGTGTGATCCTCCATCTACTTGAAGAAGAGTCACTCTGTCCTCTTTCGGCGAGATATCTAACGGGGCAGTGGCTATATCGTGTTGAGCCCTTCCGAGCCCTTGTTGGGGAACTGTTCTCACTCGGTTGGTAAGTGAACGCCCCACATCGCGCTGAAGATAGAGGAAATCATCACGTTTTTTTTTCTTTCAACTGAAGATCGTATCTCCATACCCCAGCGGAGGATCCATGCTAATCACGTGAGTAAAGAAAAAAGGGGGGGGTCTGGGTACTTGCACAGAGGAAGTCGGTGCATCATCCCACGATTTAGCTGCAGATTCGAGCGCTGACCTTCAAGAAGCAAAGGGGGGCAGCCGACTAGTGCGCGCCCAGGCTGTGAGCAAGCTCAACACACACGCACTCAGACGCGCACACTCTCATACACGCATGCACGGACTCTGGGAGAAACGGACATAGAGATGGTCATTGAGCACCCGCCATCTGACATGCACCTGGTCTCGCCTGAGGACCAGGTTCGGATGAATAGGTGTGCGTGATGAGACTGACGGGCATGAGCCTATTTCAACTTCGTCAATGATTCGAGCATGAGAGTGTGGGTACAGGGGAGTGTGCAATGAAAGAGGAAGATCATGCCATAACCGGGAGAGAAGGAAAGAAGTAGAAATGTTGACAATCGAAGACTATGGCAGAGACAAAGAGCTACATACACACACACAGCAGTTGAACAGGACACGATAAAATCTTCTTGTTCGTTCGCAGATCCATTGAATCAGGCTCATTCGCAGACCTTTGAAGACCGCAGACAGTGGGGAAAAAGTTTGTTAGTCCGAAAGAAACTGGTGTGCACCGTCGAACGGGTGTATTAGAGACTAAACGGGAAAACAACCCCGTTTGAATTTGGGACTATAATCTAGGAGCGCGGGGGTTGTAAGTGCAAGAGGGGAACTTCATGAGCACCGAACCGGATCTGAGGGAGATCTTGCAGGTTATTTGGTCGTCGTGAATATTTATTTTATTTTATTTTAGTAATTCTCGTTTACTCAGGGGAAACACTTTGTGTGCATTCAAAAGCCTCCCTTAAAGACATCTGCATGTACGTAGAGAGGGGAGAGAGTGAGGCTACTTGCTTATCAACCAATTGAATTTTCTTTGTGCGTTCGTGTGAGCGACTGTGTGTGGGAACAAAGGGAACCAGTGAAGAAGGGAAGGACAGACTAGAGTAAAAAGGGGGGAAGAGAGTAATAGTCCAGAGAAGAAGGACGAGGAGGAGGGGATCAAACAATCAAATTACTGTTTAAAACTGAGGAGTGAGTTTTGTTTAAGTATGCAACTTCTCACGCTGTTTCCGCAGTATGGTGAATCGTTCTCCCATCTGTCTCTAAAATGAACTTGTTGTCAACAGGGAACTGGTGCTTTGTCTGCCTCGCGATTGTCCATCTTTCCCTCTCAACGATCTCAGCGGAGCAGATCTGGGTTTAACTTTCAGACAGATGTGTTACTTATAGTAAATCGAGTATTGTTTGACATGATGTGGCTCAGATAGACCACTCGTAATAGGGGTTCTTTTTGAATTATACTACCCTTGATGATCACAGTAAACTGAATCTAGACTTAGCTCCCATATACTCAGTGATCACCACAAAACGGGGTATATTTTGACATCGGGGAGCAACCGCATGAGCCGTCCTCGAGAGAGGGTGTGACGAGCAGAG